GAAACGAGAAGTGACTGAACTGTCTTGAATCCCTGTATATCAGAACGGCATCCATCCCACCCCCGTCACTTTTCCTCCGAAGATTATTCCTTGCTTTCTCGAGGTGGCCAAACAGGCGATCGCAAATAAAAAATATGTATTGAATGGAAGGCCCAGTAGACGTAGCGATGGCATGTCCATCCGGTGCAGGCACTTCCAAGGGAAATGATTGGACTGGGTCTGCACTGTCGAAGCAATTGACAATCTCTTGTATTGTTTTCAGGAGTGAATAAAACCGACGAGGGTACGTGGACTGTAAGGATCAGGGGCTGTTCCAGCATGAGTCCAGAGCAATATCGGGGCTCTGTAATAAAATAGACACGCTGGGCTTATTGCAGGTTGGACACTATTGTGACATGGCCATATCAGCTTCCTCCGGCTACACTGTGCATGGATGCTATAGTCTCATTGCAAAACTCCTTTGGGAACCGCTTCGAACACTACGGCCAATGGCAGACTGGTTAGACATACCCTTCCTAGCACTGCATGAGGTGTGAACTGTCACTGGTGCAGCTTCGAACCATATTTGATGTAACGTAGACCACCCGGAGCGTCTCTAGGCTGGATAATAGAGCGATAGCCCTAGCTGAGTGAGAGCACCACCTTGGGTGGCCATCAGTTCTTGCTTCGAAGAGCACCGTATAAGCTGGAGACCAATCAACGGTGGATAATACCCTATCTCGAGACGCTTTCGCCCCAGGCGCAGAGAGGGTGTATATACCCCGTAAGAGGCGGCCACAATAGGCTCTTGGAGGTTTGCTTCCGAGTTCATCTCGTTTATATAGTTGTACGCTGTAGGCTGGTTTGCTGTGCCGATATCAAGGGAGTCCAGCTGAGATGGCATATAAATAATTCTCGATAACCCTGGCTCACCCCTCGTCAGGCCAATTCATAACTTTTAATTCCGGACTATTTACGTCCGCTTGTAGCCTCGGTTTAACTAGCGATTCCATTCTTGGCATGCGTATTTTTCTTCTTCGATAAGTCTGTCGGGGAGCCTGTCGTGCATTCGGTTGATAGAGGCGACCCCAGAGCTATAAGAGGTTGCGGGAGTCACAGGAGCCACTCTCGTCGTAGGAACGAAATCTTTGATTCTCGCCAGCTCTGGTGCTGCTTTCTGGTCTTTGAGATTGGCAAGTATATAGCACGATTTTCTTCCCTAACTACCTCGGGCTCATAACTCAGCTCTGACGAGATTCTCGATGCTTTGTCGACTACGAGACATGCAGCCACGGTAATGTGAGAGTTCGTATGCTGGTGTCTCCGTGCAATCAAACCATCGGTTTAAAGCATAGAAGAGAGGCAATGGAGCCGTTGCTTTCCCTTTTCCTAGAATATGACACGGGGCCTGAATATGGCTCATAACATACAGTCAGGTTCTTTTGGACTTTAAAATGTAAGAGCCCTCAAGAAGCAGACGCTGAAGGGAGGCTTGAGGTCAAGGAAGAAGGGCAAGGGCCGTATAGTCGGCCCCTGGCATGTCAATGCTTCTAGCCGCCAATGGGCATCCTTGATATGCCGCTTCCCAGCATGATACCATGATATGAAGCAGAGGAAGCATCGTGAAAATAAATACTGACCGAGGTCCACATTCTCTAGCGGCCTGAAGAGCGCGTTGGCAGCGGACGAGGCCAACCCGGCCACACGAACGTAGGCCAAACGAGCCGCAGGCGGCGAGCTCGCAATCTCGCCAGTCCGGGCCTAGAAGGCCTAGATCTTCATCCTCGGAAGCCGGAGCTGACGCAGCTCTTCCGACTCAGGCTCCTTATTAAATATATTAGCTAGCTACCAATCACCAAGTCGAATGAAAACGGCACTTACTTAGCGTTTCACATCTTCGATGGACCCGGTGGCACTCGGAACCTTCGGCCAGGGCCAGGCTCGCGGAACAGCTCTGGCCCATGGAGGAGGGGCGGGCAGTGGCGGCAAGGGCCTAAACTAATATAACATAGAGACAATACCTCATCTCTCCCAGTGTCAGAGTCCCGATTGGGCCCAAATATATACCTGTGGCCTTGCCGAGCTGTCAAAAGGCACTCGTGCATAATGCATGATGTCAAATGTAACCACTCTCTGCCAGAAGTGAGCGAGGGCCCTGATGGCCGAATGAAAAATTGGAAGAGTACAGCACTTAGGGTCAAAGCCACCAGCAGTGGAATGACTAAGGTACTCAGGAAGCGTGGAATAGTTCCACTTCGATGCCAATTTTTCGCGAGCCCCGTGTCTAGGTAGAGAGAATTGAAGTCTCTCCATATCTAGGTACCGGGGGACAGGCCTGGCTCTCAGGATGCACTCTTCACAAGTGGAAACGCAAACAGAGCCATAGAGTTGACCGTCGGTTTGCCTGTCTGTCCCCTTCCATGCTGTCGAAGTATGCCGCGCGAAGAACCGGCCGTATACACATTCACCCAACTGCTTTTATCTCCCTGGAGCTACCCTTCGCAAAAAGGCCTTCATCGGCGTGCACCACGTAAAAGGTGAATACTGGTTGCCCGGAAGCAGCCCCAACTACCTGAACTTGGAGTCTCAGTAAAAGGAGAGCAGGTCTGAGTCGCCCCAGTAGCCGGAAGAGAGGAGGTAGAGATTGCTTGCAATCAATGAGGCCAGCTTGGTAACAGTTATCCTGCATTGTTTCGCTAACAAGTAGTTGATAATGTCCTCAGGAGAAACCAGCACTTGGTCAAGGGAGTGCGAGGACTGAAACCACACCAGTCGGTTGCCCAGCCTACTCCAAATTGACCAGATCATCGGCTCTCGTTTCTGACAGATTCTGGACGGCTAGTCAGAATTTCGCTAGATGTATCATTGTACATCTTCTCCGCATTGTCTCCAAAGGCTGCAATAGCACCCAGGTTTGGGTTGCAGCTATACAGCACACACCCTGTCCATGTCGACCTTCATCTCTCAATAAGTCCAAAAACTTATGTTGGCGGTATCGGTTGCTAAAGCGCGTGCATTCATTGCTTCAACGTGTTGACTTCCAGCTGAATAGAATAATGTTTACAACTTTATGGAAGTTGTAGATCGTTATGTTTAACATCACTAAGATTAAAAAAGAATCGCTTGCGAACAAGGCCCCATGGTGCATAGGGGCTGATGTATTTGCTTTGCTCGATAAAGTTCGCCGTTGCCAACCACCATTGTGTTTGATCGCACTCCATATTCCGTCGACAGGCTTCCATAGGCATTTGAGGATCTCAGGGGTGCACTAGAGTCAAAGCCCCCGTTATTCTTGGCTATCCCCAGTGTCTCTGGATCCGCTCGCAGAGATATATATATATATATCCATTCGACGAGAAAGAGACAGCAAGACGAAGTAATAGCCTCTATCTGCCATATAATGCCTGTCATTAGTGTGGGCTCGCTCTTTTGGCTCATGGGTAGGCGCTCGTTTTCTAACAGGGACCAGAATGTAGAGTGATGAATTATGGCCCCTGATGAGCGCTGCATAGTATCAAATATACCGTTCAACCAAAGCAGCCAGCCCACATGATGAATTTTGCCAGTGCTTTAGTTTGGTGTCTCGCTATAATGACAGTCTCCAATGGTGGTGGTACGGCAAGATGAAGTTATCTTTTGACATAAGATGTTGGGCTGGACGACTAGGGCGAATGGGCCGGGCAACAGCTGGTTCTCAGTGCTCACCAGGGTATCCATCACTATCGATTGCTCGTGCTGCGGTCCTCATAACTATAGCTAGAGCGAGTCTCAGGGATATAGACATTAGCTGAGAGCGGCTGTGGCGCCATAGATCGAAGACAGGGCTTGGTTGAGAGAGCCAACTTCAGGTCAGACGCTCATCAGCTTCCCACTTGCGACACTTGATTATCGCCTTTGCTGGGATTTGTATCGTAGTATAGTGGAGCTGAAAGCCAAGAGTGCCTGCCGTTTGGTGGTGTAATCGTTGTGGTGTCATTGACGTAGGGACAGCCGTAGCATAGACTGCCCAGGCCTGTTGGCATCAGTGCATGTGGAGGGTATACCTAATGCAGTGATCAAACCGCCCAACAGTCACAACAGTATATCAAGATGTATCAACCGTTGCGAGGAAGGGCTGTTTCTTTCAATGGCATTTGGGAGAGCAAACATCGGATCATCTCAGTGGACCTCATTCCCATCCTTCGTCGCCCTTGCCAACCGGCCAGAAGGCTCCCACTCGTAGTTCCGGTTGTTTCCGCAGTTCAGCTTTCGTAAACTGAGGATAACCCAGATGAGCTAGCAAGGGGTGTCAGATGGATATATTCCACGCAGTCAGGTCTTCCCCTTTGACACCATATATCATTATGAGATCCCGGCCTAGTTTTTTCTGTTTTTTGGAGCAGCGATTGGGGAGACTCTGGGACATTGATGACGCATTAGAACTTATCACAGTTGAACACAGAGAGAGCATGTGAATTGACCTCCCTGCGAGTTATATTCGCATGTTATGCCTCTGTTCACGCCATATCCACGCTGGCCTAGAGTCGCATGCTGCCTACTGTACGACACTCTGCAAGCGCCAGACTCCCATTTCCTGAGCCTTCAAACAAACCAGGGCGCTAAAACAGGTGTCTACCTCTTCGTGAGGAGCAGTGGGCGTAGTAATGGCTAGCTTTAGAAACGAAGCGTTGTAATCAAGTCTCCTAAAACCCGCACGGCCAAGTTCGCAGCAGCCGCTAGTATCTTGAGCAGTAAATGGCCTGCGTCCCAGCCAAAGGATGGCGTTCTGCGGCTAGAACGGTAAGCCGAGTGACATCTCGGCAGCCAACCCGTAGACAGTACGATGGCAGCGTTGTTCTGGAACCAGCCCCTATCATGTGAGTGATAAAAATTGGCGATGTTAAACCAGCGGTGGTGGCTATGTTCAAGGCTCAGTGGCGGATACCATGAGCCGTGACTTTCGCCGATGCCAGTGATTCCACGAGGGGTTTGTGTAATATCTGAACGCATCCACTGGTGCAGGGGAGCAAGCGAGGCAACAGTCAAGCCATTCAATCTTCAGGAAGATCGAAGGGGCCCGTATCCAGAAATCCAAGGAGAAAATCGCCACCAGGAAAAGATATGTTGTCTGCATGAATGATCCGGTGGAAAACTATGACTTTATATCGTTGAGCATTCCAATGATATCCTATGCTCCGAAGTTGACCTTATTCCCCGTCTCCAGTCTTGCATCAGGCCAGGAATTGGAGGCTGTAAGTCGGCCTTTCGCTGTATGACCGAAAAGTAGAGAGGGCCGAGTGCTTGGACGGTCTTTCCCAGTCCGGGAGCATCATTTAGAGCATCATTTAGAATCCCAGTGCTTGATTCCTTCTTGATCATATCCAATTTCGCAGCCGCACTTCTTCAATTCCTCTGCGGACGGAGGGGTGTACTGCTTGATGCTGCCAATTCGATCAAAGTCACTAGTCATGATGTGTTTGTTTCTTCTCTTGCCCGGCCCGATGGCGGTGAGTCTTTGGATGGCTGGTCTATTGATCTTGTTCCTCCATGCAATCCCTTCAGGCGGCCCCTCCTTCCCCCCGACAGGAGGAAAACCGAACTCCAGAAACATTTGTATTCGTCTGCATTGGTGAGGTCGGTTATGGAAAATGAGAGGCAGATAATCCTTGCGCCTAGCAGGAGATGGATGAAGTACATTCGGCTGACAGAAGCATTATTTGCCCAGGATACGCCTAGAGGCCGGAGGGACTCCGCAAGAACGAAGAGCTAAGCTGCTCTTCAATGTGTATTGGTCTCTTTGCGGTGGTCGTACCCCATGCTTGATCACAGAAGACGGCGTTGTGATATCCTGTTCTTGATGTTATGTGCCTCATCGGCTATGACGCAGCCGCATTAGCCGACGAACCGACAACGAATAGCGTAGATCTGATTTTGCAATATCCCAGGGTATCTTCGACATCGAAGCTTATGAAATAGCCCGTCATGTATTCAAATAATCAGCCTCTTCGTCCGGGATTGCACAATTGTGCGCTGGCTATTCGCTGAATGGCGGAATTTGATACGGATATTGGTAGTATTTGATTGTCGCATACTGACTGAAGATAACAAGCATAGAGCAGGCAAGGGAAGAAGACGGCACTATCTGAAAAGCTGAAATCTCATGCACTCGATCCAGATCAACCAAGTAACAGCAAATGGAAGAGATATTTATACCCTTTTGCTTCTGCAGACCCAAAGTTGCAACGCTGCCAGATTTTGCAAAACACTGAATAGCGGGTAGTGAGACCGTGAAGTCGAAATTTCTCCGTTGAACCGAGTTCATTTAACTAACTGGTCAACTAACTCGCTAGTTAGTTAACTTAGTTGACGCGACCACCGGAACTAGATAGCGATTGCCGAGACCATAATGTATGCGCATGATTAATCCAAGGACACTAGGGGCTGGTCAAAACTGTAACCGCTGATCTTCAAATGATTTAAGGCTTATTAAGGTCGGCATGTCTACCAGAACGGTGCTGGTTCAAAAAACCCCTTCGACCTTTGACGTGGGGATAGTTAGTGTGCTTGTCAATCAAATAGGTGGAAGGTAAGGCTCCTCAAATGACAAAATGCATGCATCACTCGGCCAGTGAAATCTTGATTGGTTATCGGGTATCATGTCCATCGGCCAGTAGGTCCGTGAGGTTACGGCCGTCAATAAAAGCGGGTATCAAAATGGCTCTCCGGATTAATAATGCAATCGTTGCAAAGGTAGCACAAAAAGCAAGGAAACCAAGAGGCCTCATAATAATGTTTCGGAGGCAGTCAAGGTCCCACTGTCAGACCCCATAAAATATCTCGTATGATTCCATGGTGCAGGAAGCTCAATAACGGTTTAGAGGCTAGATGCATGCTCTGTGAAAATAGCGAAACTTGGCTCTGGTTGATCGCGTCGCTTTGCTGGATATACAAACTAATGTCTGGCTGTAGCTAGTTATAGAGGATCACCAACTAAAATAACTATGCCTGGCGGCTTGATAGTCAGTGCGGGAAATTCAACCTTGCCATCTCTCAGGTATTCGCAGCTTCGCCGAGACCAATAACATTCGGCTGGGTATTCTGTCTCACAAAATTCTCTCGGGTAATTGACAGTGTATACATACAAGGACACCTGCCCCGCATAGACACTTGCTCGTTGTTTTATAGCCTGACGGACGCCTATCAACGCCGCACAAAGACGTCGACTGCAATCAGGTATTATTCCGCTATCCCATGGTATCGGTGTGATAGTCCAACGTAGTTTGGCGTAAGAAAATCCCTTAGTGCTGCTTTCAATGAAGGCTCTGCTAGATAATGCAGATCGTTCCTAAAGGATATGGTATAGGTTTCGGGGCAAGGGGCAGAGCCACTATCTTGTATGGCATTGCTGTTAGATAGGGTTAGCGCCCAATATTTCCCACGGGATATAGATTTGCAATTACTCCGTAATATGTGGGTAATCACGGATAGATCTCCAAAAATGACAATTGTGACCTTAACACTAATCGAAGTATACCATTTAATCAAAAGAGCGAGCCTACACTATTGGTAGGAAGGATAACGTTTCTCAGAGCCCATACTGAGACGTTGAAATGGGTAGATCGCTTGGCCCATAGAAGAACAAACTTGCGTCAAGAAGTGTGGATATAGTTTCATACGCAGACCACATTGACAGCTGGCTCCACGGTAGTTCTAGAAGATAACAACTTCTCTGATGCAACGTGTTGGTGCAACTTCTCGAGAGTCCAATTATGTCGAGCCAGTTTCTAATGGGAACCTTATGCTAGAGTTAGAAGTGCGCAAATAGCATCATGGAGTGACTAGTTACTTACTTTCCATGCCTGAGCTGCTGATTAATTATAGCCCACCGGACACACTCTAATGGCATACATGCCGAAAATGCAGGACCAAGTTCCCCCTTCCGTGCTTCATCGGAACAATCGGTCCTGCATGCGCGTTGGGCCATGTCATGAACTGGTTGGACGAATCTCCTTCATCAGGAGAACTCCCGCCAGGCTATCACTTTGAGTTCATGTTTATGCGCAGGGTCCAACCATCGTCTTGCGTCGAAAACTCCTGGATATCTGAGCTCATATCCAGTATGACCTCTTTAAGCTCTTCCCTGCTCACGATGGAAACTTGAGGCCCATATATTGTAGCCTCAAATCAGATTCACTCTGTGCGTGGTAGGTTTTACGTTAAGGACCCAATTCGAACAAATGGCAGTGGATATATAAACAAATAGGTATAGAAACTTCCTGGATACCTTCACAAGTAGCTTCCAGGAAATATACTCATGGTATTTCATCTGCTATTGATTGAAACCCTGTTGCAAAGGAGTGTCAGCTTGGTACAACGTTAGCTAACTGGAAAAATTCCTTACCATGAAATAGTACCATAATACCAGCATCAGGGATGAGAATTTAAATTTTCTTTGCTCCGCAATATATGCCATTACTTTTCCTGGGAAAAGGTTTGGAAATATATACCTTTCCATTATACTGATAGTATACCAATGTCACTAATCGAGCGTTTGTGGAGTATCCAGCAACCTGGTTATTTTGTCGTGATGATAAAAGCCGAGGTTCCTGGACGATAATTAAATCAGATTCACGTGGAAATTTGGGAAGTCGATTCCATTTAATCAAGAGATCCTTTGGAAATAAGTAAACGCATATATAGTTATCGTCAATAATATTAACATCGACTTGCACAGGGGCCCCATTGTGGAGGATGTAGATATGAATACGCCGTCTTTCAAGTAGACACCCGCCACTGCTAGCGAAGCTGACCAAAGTTGGTCGTGTAATTCGTAGCTTATGTTTGATGGCGGCATCTACTTCTCTGTTAATATAGTCGACTGGCGAATGAGTAGGTAAAGCACATACTTTAGGTCGCGTCCTTCCTCGTCGAGTGACAAAGGGGTCTCCCTTTTTTAAGAGACACACCATGGAATTCTCATCGCTGGCTTGACTTAACCACACCTGAGCTACCTAGAGCTAAAGGTGTGATATTCCTGGAGAGATTCCAGGCCCTTCAGCTATAGCATTATTAGACCTATGCTGCGATATATGGGGTATTATCGTAAATAGAAAAGGAGAGAATCATCCTTCAACTTAATGTGATGAGGATACCGAGGAAAGGAACGAAATAGAAGGATGAAGAGAAAGAAGAAGGGGAAGAAAAACTTCAGGCAGGCTGGAGGTATTTATATCCTTCCTCTGAGAGCTGCTAATAGCTCGATTTCACTGACTGGCTGCTTCACTGCTCCAGTGACTGGGAAATTCACAGCCCAAGCCAAGTGGATCATATCACTAGTTAAAGCAGCCTGCCGAAAATGGATATCGCCACTCAGTGATAGAGGTTCTGCAAGAGTGTAGAAGGTGGAACTGACGAATATAGTCATGATGTTGCGATGATAAAAACCCCCAGCCAAGCTTTCCACTGGCTATAGTTGATAAAACGGTGGATCCGGAATGCTGCGTCTAAGAATAGAGGTCATGGGGTATTTGATATCGGATAGTTACTGCAGCTATGTTAGTAGCTGATAGGGGCGGTCAGTTTCAATGGCACGAAATGCGAATGCGTAATGAAATAATGGAGAAGGTTCAAAAAGCACGTCTTTCTATTGTATCAATATGTCGGTAGCGACTGAGACATTCCATGCCTGACGGCAATCGTAATGACTCCGATCTTGTATATACTCACATATCTCCAAAAACCGTCTCCATAGACGGGAGGGAAGGGTGTGATTGTAACTGCAAGAAAATGGAGAAAGCAATGCTAAATGCCAAATATCAAAAACAAACGCAATAACAAGGCATCCAGATAGATGGGCGTAGGATGTCTTATAACTTAGCCTTGGCCTTGCTGTTTTCCTTCTTGATCATGTCTTTCAGAACACGTCTGAGAATCTTCCCGCTTTGACTCTTGGGTATGGAATCGATGAATATGACTCCTCCTCTAAGTCGTTTGTATGGTGCCACCTTGCCAGCTAGCCAGCTAGCTATGTTTTCAGCCGTCTTGTCCCCCCTCTGAACGCCGGGCTTGAGAACGATGTATGCACGGGGCACCTCGCTTCCGTGCTGCTCGCTTTCGATACCAATGACGGCTGCATCATCCACATCTGGATGTGAGGCTAGATATCCTTCAAGTTCTGCGGGCGCAACCTGGAAACCCTTGTATTTAATCAATTCTTTGACACGATCGGTGATGTACAGGTTTCCTTCTTCGTCCTGATGGCCCACATCACCGGTGCAGAACCAGCCGTCAGCAGAAAGACAACCAGCTGTTGCCGTGGGGTTATCAAGGTATCCTGAAAATACATTGGGTCCGCGGAGATAAACTTCTCCCGTCTGTCCGGCTGGCACCTCTACAGGTTCCGATCCGTCTTCAGAGTTGGTCATGTATTTCACCTCCATGTTTGGGAGAAGCTTGCCGACCGAGCCAACCTTTCGGTGCCAGTCCTTCCAAGACAAGGTGTGGGTTGTCGGACTGCATTCACTGAGGCCATACCCTTGCTTGGCTCCGATCTTGATACGGCTGTGCATGGCTTCTAGAAGTTCGGATGTGAGTGGTGCGGCACCAGAGTTCATCATTCGAAGCGATGAAAGGTCGTATTTCGAGACTGCTGGATGTTTGGCCAGTAGTAGGATGACCGGAGGTACGACATACGAGAACGTGATGCGGTAGTTCTGTACATGGGCGCACCATCGTTCAATGTCGAATTTAGGCATGACGTATAGATGGTAGCCAGAGTACATCGAGGCATGGATCAAGCATGTCAATCCTGGGGAAGGTCAGCAAGGTTGATGCAGATCACCGTTGCACGGATAAGGGGTAGTTCATTACCATAAACGTGAAAGAAAGGGAGAAAAGCCAGCATGCGGTCTCCCTTGCCATCCGGCCCACCATTGCAGGTGAGATTGCCTTCCTCACCCGCTTTAAGCTGGAGAATGTTTGACACTATGTTATAGTGGCTCAACATAACACCCTTCGGCACACCGGTTGTTCCAGATGAGAAGACCAAGAACGCAAGGTCCTTCTTTGGATCAATGCGCGCCCTACGATACCTTGTTGCACCGGACAAGTTGCGCACGGAGGAGAAGTGCTTATACTTCAAAGTCGGATGCCGCTCCGTGCCCAGCAGCACAATGCAGTCATCCGGTAGCCCAACCTTTGCCGCTGCTTTCACAGCAACATCAAGACAGGACATATGCGTTACCAAGAAACGCGCACGGGTCTTCTTGAGCTGGAAGGCAAGCTCGTCAGCTGTATATGCTGGATTAGCTGGTGTAACTACACCACCAGCCCAATGCGTACCCCATAGCACCGGTGGGATGTCGATGTCGTTCGGTGCAAAGAGAGCCAGCACATCACCCTTCTTCCAATCGAACGAAGCCCTGAGACCTGTTCCGAACGTGATGGCTGTGGACTTTATTTCGGCATAGGTGTATGACCGCAGGGTGTCTGCATCCTGGTAGATAACTACTGGCTGTTAGACTGGGGAGAGCTCTCCGGGGGATAAAGCCGGGTGGTTGCTTACCTTTGTCATCCGGGAACTCGCGCTTCTCGTTTTCAAAGAGGAACTTCCACAGATCGACGACCGGGATGTCAATTGGAGGATAAGGGGAGGGATAAGGCATGGCTGTAGAGGGTGCTGCTGGCGGTGCTGCTGGTATCTTGTCTTGTCCGTAGCGAGGGGAGAGGGATGGAGGACGAAAAGCTGGGGAACTTCAGAGATATAACACCCAGCCCGCTCTCCGCAGTGGAGAGGCTTCGGGCTTAACTAGTTAGCGTAACGCCGCCGTATCGGCCTGTATCTGCAGCCTCAACACTTGCATCAGCGTCGGTATCTTCACCACCAACCAGTACAGTCTGCTTCTTCATCTCATCGACGGTAGTCTGAGGTTGTTTTTCTCATGTTAACAAAAAACTGTCATGACGTCGACTTAAAGATTTGAAGCAAAATGAGGTCGTTCTTGCCCTTTTCGGCGCTTTACCTCGGCTTCGGCTACTACCCGCTTAGTCATCAATACTCGGATTATTATTGTTCCATATCCGACAGGGCGCCGCAAAAAAGATATTCCCTTCCTGTATGACATAAGCACAGCTTACCTAAGTTAAGCAGGTCAACCAATCAAGATACTCCATTAGTCACAAAACACCACCTTAAATAGCAAGTCGGCTTCCTTTCCTATGCCTTCGGGCATTTGGTCATAGTAACGATACAGAGAAGATTAGCATGGCCCCTGCACTAAGGATGACACGCTCAATCAAAGAGAAGCTATCAATTTTTTTTTGGCCATTGCGACGACGTTTTGGGAGGTTGAGCGTTGACGGGCATGCAAGAGAGGCATCGGTTCGAAGCGGCCGATGGGCAGGATTTATTTGATTTTATATTTTTGTCGACAAGCAACTGATATAGGGTCAAGTCAACTAACTACAGAAACGAGCAACGAGAATAGAAAGGCAGAAAGGAACAGAGTCTCATTATGATTAAACCGTCGACTACATACGTAACTAGTTGTGTATTTATCTAAGTGGCCAGACCAAAGACAAACAAGGAAACCCGCGTGAAGCTACCTCCCCCTATTTTGCTGTCCCAGGCTTGCCATAGCACCCTTTTTTTTCTTTTCTTTTTTTCTCACCTTCGTCGTTTTGCGTAACTTGTATTTTGTTTGCACCTCCATGATCCATACCCCATTATCCACGTCGAAAGACGGTTCAACCGTGATATTGAAATGTATGTACTCCGTACGTGCAGCACTCTTTGCTTACTCCTTCTCGACGACGGCGGTCAGCAGCTTTCCACCACCAACATTCTGGATGCTGGCCTCGCGGGCGCCAGCAAGGCCGAACTGGGTCGGAACACCCTCAATGCGGTGAGTAGAGTTGATGTTCTTGACCATGGTGATTTGCCAGCAGGTAGCACCTCCTTGACGGGAAGTGATGGTAGAGTAGGCAAGGAAGTATTCCCAGATCTGTTTAACGTTAGCTATACGCTATTTATACGTTAGAGTTTAGGGGGAGAAACTTACGCGGAACCATCGCTTGCCGTACTTGGCCTCGACCTTCTCCCTGTTGGCCATCCAGTTCCTGTACCATCTCCAGAGGGTGGCAGAGTAGTGTACGCCAACGGTGTCAATGCCCTTGATCTCGAAGCCAGCTCCCTCAAGGCGCTCGGTGACGAAGCCAAGTGGTGTGCTTGCGTCAGCACCGGGGAAAATGTACTTGTTCATGAACAGACCCCAAATTAGATCCTCGTATTGCCAGGACTTACGTAGGCCAGCAATCTGGAGGAAGAAAACACCGTCATCGTCAAGCATGTCGTACACCTGTCGCAGGAAAGTAGAGAAGTGGCGGACACCGACGTGCTCGGCCATCTCAAGACAGGTGATCTTCTTGTATCCGCCGGGCACGCTGGGAGCGTCACGGTAGTCCATGCACAGAATGCGGGATTGAGACTCTTCAATGCCAGCCTTGCGAAGGCCGTTGTTGCCCCAGGCAGTCTGGTTGCGGCCCAGAGTAATACCAGTGACATGGGCGCCGTAGTGGACGGAAGCGTACTTGGCGAGAGTGCCCCAGCCGCAGCCAAGGTCGAGCATGGTGTCTCCGGGTTTAAGGCCGATCTTCTCACAGACGACAGCGAGCTTGTTGTCCTGCAGCTGCTCGAGGGTCTCTTCCTCATTGATGTTGCTGATTATGCCAGAGGTGTAGATCATGCGTGGACCCAAGAACCAGCCGTAGAAATCATCACCACGGTCATAGTGTCCACGAACTTGCTCCTCATCTAGGTAGCTGTTAGCATTGAGCTTGTAAAGGTAAGGATATGTAAAAGAAAAATGGATGATCCCCACTCACCCTGGCTTCGGGTATGCATGATAACCTCAGGCATCATTCCAGTCAAGAAATACTTGTACAAGCTCCAGGTGAACTTGAACTGGGCCCAGTCATGTCTGTACTCCAGCATCTCCAGCGCATCACCCTTGAAGTCCACCTGTCCGTCAAAATACATCTCATGGAAGGTCTCCATGGGAATCTTGGACTTGCCATGGTACTTGGCACGGTCATGCTCGCTCAGGAAGTTCAGGTAGTACTCGACAGGGCGGCCGGGATACTTGGCCTTTTCATTCTTTCGTGGAGAGATGGTAGACGCAACGGTCCAGTAGGCCATCAGGATCGGGATGGTGGTGAAAATGGCGAGGAACAGGGTTGTCCATAGTCCACCGGAGACCTGGCGGGCAAGGTATGCAGGTATCAGCACCAGCAGGGAGATGAGCAGAGTGTTGGAGAACGAGTCTGAGCCAGCAGCGTCGGCTGGTAAAGGCGCATTTTTGATCGCGGGATACTATAGTAAATCGTCTATATCAGCATTGACGACCAGGTAAAAATAAATAAAAAATAAAAAATCAAACATGTTGGTTGAGGGTCCCTTGAGTCCACGTATATGGAGGGATGCCCAACAGAAAAGCACAAAAGCTGGTTAGAACAGAGTAAACAAACGACGTACCTCTGTCGTCCGGACGCCGCAGGGCTCAGCATTCGGGCTCACGCACGAGGCAGCTGGGGTCTCGACGAACTCGAATCCTTCAGCAGTGACGGCGGTGGTTGAGGGGGCCGGTTCCTGGTTGACCGACTTCTTCGCCATGGTGAGCGAGGAGGGTAGCTGGCAAGGTGCTGGCTGGGTTTTGGGCGAAAGACAGTGTAAGAACTGCACCGACGGCCGGGGAGAGACAAGACAGCGAGCTCAGGTGCAATTGGTAGATGCGGTGCCTGTCTGAGCAGAGCGAGACGGTCGATACAGCCGGCAGCGGGAGGCAGAGGGTGTTGCTCGCTTTGCAAGGGGGGAAAGTTGAAGGTGGTGAAGATGGACTGTTAGTTCGTTCGTGCGATGGGTGGGCGCTTGGCGGGCCAGCACATGCAGCGCTCGGAGCTTGACGTTTCAGGGGGCAAAAGCGCTAGCTAGGGCAGGCAGCAAACTTATATAGGGACTTAACAGCACTTAAGCAGCGGCAGGGCAACTCCACCGGGAGACCCTTGATATTCTTCAGGCAGATGAAGCAGATGGAGCCTGGAGAGATTGGACCGGCCAGGGGTGTAGAACTGGTTTGAGAACTGGCTGCAGTAGTAGGAGCTATTTATTCCGTGCAAAATAACAAAAAACGAATACTATAAAGATAATACACAGTGTCAGAAAGATACGATGCCCTGGCGCCCTTCCCCCCTTGTACCCCCCTGACCCCCTTCCAGAAGAGATAGAGAAATAAGATAGGTAAGAAAAAAGATAAAAGGAGTTGGTTTAGATGAGAAGCTGGAAATTAGCACTCTCCTCGTCCTCCACAAAGGCATCGTCAACGTTGGTGCTGTCTATACCCAAAAGCTCTTCGGTCGTCTTGACCTCATCGTCAAAGTAGCCGGCAATCTTACACCGGGACCACATCTCAGTGCCAAACGCAGGGGGGCCATAGAGCTGCATGTACAACTCTGGTGAGAGGTGGTCTGTTTCATTCTCCTGTCCGCCGGCATTGTTTGTTGACCTGTTCGTCTTGGAGCTGCTCTTGGGTTGGTCAGTCACTTCTCTTAGAGCTGCCAATGCCTCACGACCCTTGGAGTAGCCCAGAGTGCTCCTTGAGCTGGCTACCGCGGCTGTATGGCGCATGGAAGATGGGTTAGTTGGCTCGGTAGTCTTTTTCTGTTTCGTTGTTGTCGTCGTGGTTGCAGTAGCAGCTTTTGCAGCAGCCTTTGCAGCCAGTCTAGCCGAACTCCTAGTCCGTACACTTTCCTTTGGGTCCAGGGCCAGAGCCTGTGCAGCACTCTTTGATCGGAGGGTAGACACTGTTCTCTCTGACCGCTGGGACTTGGTGGTGGCTCGGCTGACAGGTCTAGACTCCTCTGCTTCCGCTTTGGCGTCGTCTCCTTCTCCTTCTAGCTCAAGAGTGCCAATGCTGTCAATCTGCGCTTGAATCAATTCTTCGATGTGCTTGTTATATGCATCATCGAGCTCTTTCTCTTCTCGCTGCTTGGCTGTCAATCCATCCTCACCCACAGAGGTGTCTTCATAGAGCTTCTCCCATCCGCGGGCGAAGTTGTTTCCTTTGAAGTGTGGGAAGGTCGTGTCGTAGGTAATATATCCATCGTCGTCAGGAAGGGCTATTTCATGCTCAAATTAGCATTCTGTAAACCATACCAGACCAAATTGACTCACGCTTTGGCTTTGGAGGCATGTATTCAATCTCCCTCTCAGGCTCCTCTTCCTCCTCCACGGTCACGGTTTTCTCCTGTGCGGCCTGTTCAGGCAGTGGTGCGGCCTTCTTGACCTTGCGAGTCGACCCTCGTTTGGCACTTCTTTGCTTGATCGTCCCTATCGGCATGGTAGGGGCCGGAGTCTGGAATGCCCGTGCCTTTGCATTAGTCGTCTTCATCCCCAGCGGCGCCCGCGTCATGCCTTAAGCCACATTAGCTATCTTATCCCAACACAGCACATATTCAGGTACGGTCGATAGCTGCTTCACTCACCCGCCGGAGTAGCCAACGCCTTCTTCTCCGCACCTTTCCCCTTGCCCTGCAAAGCCGCATTCTCATCCTGTCCCTTGAGCACCACGCTTTTCCCTATCCCAGCGCCCAACCCCTTCCCGAACGTAAGTGGTCTGTTTTCATCGTGAAGAGGGAGTCTAAACGGCGTTTTCGGGGGCAGCTTGCCCGGCGTCTTTGGCAGGAGATGTCGCATTCCCTGGTTCAACGGCTTTGAGGCCGCAGCCGTCTGGTGCGCGTTCACCAGGTTCTCCTGGCCCTGTCCTCTGATAGACAACATCTCTCCAGCCGTGTCGTCTCTCTCTGTCTGTCTGTCTCTATATATCGCTTTAATCAGTATCTCAACCAGCAGTACTCGTCGTCGCGTGGTCGCCGCTCGTCATCTTGGTCCTGTCGTCTGCTTTGCTTGTCGTCCTCTGCCGGCTGCTGTCTCGCCCTCAGTCTCGCCATCGCCTTGCCTTGTTTTCCCTCCGCCCCGTCGCCCCGGCAACCGCGCCAGGGAGAAACATGTCTCACGTGACATACCCACTTCCACTTACGTAAGCCTCCCCCAAAGCTCCTTTGCTCCTTTTCCACGAGTATCAAGCATCATCTACTTCCACCTCAGCAGCAGACGCAGGCAGCCATATTCTTGCCCAGATACTTAACATCCGCAGACAGACCTCGAAGGACACCCATTCCAGGCCCGCACTAGCAGCCAATACAGCCCACACCAGCCCACCATGGACGGCATCAAGCGGGTATGTTTACTGCCTGCCTCCCGCTGCCGCGGGGCACCAGTCTCGCCTGGGGAGAAAAAGAACACCCCGAAAGACCCCCGTCATCCACCAACAGAGCCCCTTCGTCATTGCACCACGATACCCATGCTAACCATGACCTCCCATGGCAGAAAATCGAGAACATGCGTCAGGAGATCGACGACGGCCTGTCAAAGATCGAAGAACAAAAGGCCCGCATCAAAGAGTTAGAGCAAGAAAACCTAGCCAAAGAACAAGAGGTAACCTCTCTCACCCACCGGAACCAGCTGCTTGAGCAGCGGGTAGAGACTCTCGAAGTCACCCTCAAGGAGGCCAAGACCAAAGCGAGCGAGGCGGCTCAAGACAGTTCACAGAATGAGGCCCTGCAGCGCCGTATACAGCTTATGGAGGAAGAGGCCGAGCAGACCGACAAGACCCTCAGAGAAACCAACGAGAAGTGCGTTCACACCTCTCTCTCCATAGTTGCCTGTATATGAGGCATATGTATGCTAATTCTTGTTGCAGGCTACGCCAAACGGACGTCAAGGCCGGACACTTCGAACGCAAAGTCCAAGCTCTCGAGGCCACACGCGAGCAATGGGAGACCAAGTACGAGGAGATGTCGAAGCAGTACGCTGCCGTCAAGGAGGAGCTCAAGGAGCTGGAGCGGTCTATCAGCGATGTCTAAAGCTTTAGAATGCACAAGATAAAAATTAAACCTCTGTCACGAGAGTCCCTTTTGCCCTCTTTCCTCCTCTTGTCACCATTCTACAACATCCATGGAAAATACTCTTTAATTCCGTCTTCCATCACTATGTCTTTTAGTCTTGCTTCGTTCCAGTGCGTTTTTCACCGCCCTTTCTGCTGGAGTGTCATCATATATCCCCTTTACCAGAGTACATAACTGTGCATCAACAATTCAAGTACATTCGTTCTCTATATTCTATAATCCCTATCCAAAGGCGGTATACATCACCCTTTCTTAGCCTTCCTTGCCTCGGCCTGCTTCTTCTTCCTCCCACGCTCCTTAGCCCTATTCAGCTTCCTCTCCAGCGGACTCTCATACTTAAAATCCCGCTTCCGCTTCCGTTTCTTCTTCACATCTTTATTCGGGTTATCCTTCGTCCATATCTTCTTCTTCTTCGACATTCCGTCGTCCTTCTCTTTGGCTCCATCTTCCTCTTCCTCTTCCTCTTCGTCTCCTGAACCTTCATCTTCATCATCTTTCTTCTCGTTTAGTTCTCTCCTCGGCACCAGCCCCTCCCTGGTAGCTTCAATTTCCTCTACCGTAACGGTCGTATATTTATCTTCATCAATATATTCAGCCTCGTAGTCCACAGGCGGCGGTTCGACGATTCCGCCCCATTCTTCTTCCTCGTCATCATCTCCGCCTTGCTCCGAGCCAGACCCAGACTCTTCCCCCGTGGCAGGGAATCCATTCAGCGCCTCCATCTCAGCTCTATGCCGCTTCAACGCTTCTTCGAATTCTGCCTTTCGTTCTTGTCGGATCTAAGCTCAACCATTAGCATTAGCTTTGGTTCATGACCAATTGGAAGTAAATCACTATCCCACCTTCTTCCGGGTCTCTCTCCGCTCCTCCTTTGCTCTTCTTTCTGCAGCCTCCTGGGCCTTTTTTGCGCGCTGTACTTTTCGTTTGTGAAATCCGGTCAGAAACTCTGCGCGGGAATCTGGGTTGAATGATATTTCCTCCGGCTGTGCGGGGGCCGCAATTTTTCGTTTCTTGGTCGGCGGGCGCATTTTTATGTATTTTGTATAAATATAGCTGTGTCAATTAGCTTGTCTGAGCAGTTAATCAAGCATGGAGTTGTCTCATACCAGAAATAATAGCTATTGTTGTCTGTCGAAGTCTAGAGTTGAATTTATTTTATTTAAACTCGCATTTTTTATCTCGGTCTTGGCGCTTGACGTAAAGCTTGGCATCTTCTTTCTACTCCTCTTGCAGTTATTATTATTTCTCATAATAGTTCTATTTATACAGCGATATATTATGGACAACATGAGAAAAGATACTGCGGAATCATTTTCAACTAAAGCTGGAGAAAAGACTCAAGCATATGTAGCTTCTTGCTCTAATGATGGTTGATCCTTGATAAATACGCTTTTTTCAAATATATTTATTTATCTAGCAGTTCTGAGCATCGACTATATTGAATATCGGCAAAAGCACCTCATACTGAAGTATCAATACACACGTTATAGCTGCTGTTTTGTCTAGTTACCATACTGATGTATGTCAATGGACGTCACTAATTATCGAACCACATCTCAAAAACTGTACCTACATATCCTAGCTTTGAAGATAATACAATTGCTCCTTTTCTTATGCACATAACTGCTCAACCACTTCACCCACGATCCC